ATATTTAACTCAAATCATTGTATATTTAACTCAAATTTTGCTACAATAGGCACTGTTTTAACTATGGGTCATCTATAACCTAAGTGTTCTTAACCCAGGGACTACCTGTACTTCTCTGTTTTTAACATATACACCATTGAAACTCAATATACTCAATGAGTAACACCAATGTATAATTCCGGATTGAGAAGAAATGTGCAGCCCCTTGGAAAAACCATAGTAGATGGTGTCAGGGCTGAAATTAGGATAGTTAACTCCTTGGAACATAGAAACCCTGGAAAAGAAACTGGAGTCACTAGGGCATCATATTAAAACCAAGACCAAATAACAGAAAAGCAGATATTATAGGAGGCTGCTATATCTTATCAAGATGTTCAGATAGTAATGGATAATTTTAATTTAACATTACAGGTGGTCCTTGTTTAGTGACCACAATTGGGACCAGCAACTCAGTTGTTAATTGAAGCAGTCACTAAGTGAAACTGCAACTGTGCTTATGGTCTTACTTCAGCTTTCCTTTGTTTTACAGACCTGCAAAGGTCATAAATGTGAGGATTGGTCATAAAGTCACTTTTTCATCACCACCGTAATTGTGTATGGTCACTAAATGAGGCAGTTGCTAAACAAAGATTACCCGTATATCTATTTACTTTTATTTGACAAGGATTAAAAAATGTCACCATAATGGCTAGATGTGTTGTAATGGAGATGAGAAATTTAATAAAACTAGAATAGGATTTCAAAGATTGGTGTGAGGGGAAGGTCTGCTAGTGGAAAGAAATTATAAAAGATATTGGAACTAACTGGAATTGGATAACAGTTACTAGGGTCATAAGACAAAATCCTTGCTAAAAGTTATCAGCAACTGCTATCATCAGTGGTGTAGCTATCACTGCTAACCCATGCCTCCTACTTCCAGATGCAGTAAATGGGCATTTTAATTCGCATTTAGCCACCAGGAGCACTGGTATCATGACCATCCAATGGAGACAATGGGATTTTCCCAAATGTCTCTATCCCACGCATACCACTCCATTTGAGCACTCTGCAAATAACTTTGTTTCATATGTGTATGGATCCAATTACATGACAATGTCCCTTGAATAATTGATAACAGAAAGGGATGTATATACCTGGAAAATGGAAGCATATTCCAAATTACAATTCAGGAGTGTCAGTGTCATATTTCTCAACTCACACCTCCATGGAATATTAAATGTTTATTAAATATGAAATATAGACATCAGGATGAAAGTGGAGGAGTGGAACTTCATGTTCCCTATAGGATTTAATGTTGCAAATAGTCCAACTTCTTTGGAAAAGTGCATATATTGAAACTAAACTAAAATTGTAAAGGAAAAATATTTAAAATGTAGTATGAACAAGTTAAACTTGTCAGAATCACCCAGGATATATCTTACCATGCATCTGAAGTGCAACATCTTTACAGGATCGATTTCCACACTGAAAATGTCTTAAACCTGGCATGGCTTCCTATAGTATTATTTTTTGAACTAACTGTCCTATTAATAATCTGAATATTGTATGTTAAAGTCAAATGGTCTTAACATCCAAATCAAACCCAGGATGCGGAGTCTATTCTAGCAAGCAGAGGCAGTAAAAGAGAACAAAATCTGAAAAGGGTAAAGATGGATTGAAGTGGAAATGCCAGAATACTATGCGTTTTGAAAAGAACATGAATGACGTGGAACCAATGTATCTGTCATGCTTAGATCTTTGGGCAGATAGGATCTTCTAGTCCAAAGCCTTTTGCGAGCTTTGGACCTTCTGTACAATCTCTAAATATGCAACAAGCTTATCTTTCTATGTTACGTAATAACCATGATATAGTTTGGGAATTTAGGGATAATCACCTATATTTGCCACTTGCTATTCGCTTAGGCTTATAATCTTAGCCTTGAGGGAATGTACTTTATAATAGGTGTGTATATGGCTGGGAGATCATGTAGTGAGTAAGTGCCTTATAATTCTTCCTTTGACATAGACCTGAACTACAAAAGATGAATGATGCTTGCTATTGGCAGGTGGTCATTCTATTGTCATTCTCCAGGGGTTTCCAATAAAAGAAAGGGGAGACGTACATCCTTATTTCTGTAGGTGATCTTTGATCCTTATAAAATTCATAAACTTTATGAATAGGTGTGTCTATTGTCTCCAAGCCCTTTCACAGAAGTTTGGCAATTCACATCTACACTATGTTTACACAACCAGTTTGTCTGTTCCATACTTGCTGGGTTTCCCATCTTGTCAACTTCAGCCCTCACACACACCAGATCTGTTGGACCATTTGCTGAAAATTTGTGTACTACTGAGCCAACTGTTAACTAAACTGAAGAGTGTACATCCAGTGCTTTTGTCAGTAAAGCATCAAGAGGAACTTTATTTAGCTGTGGTCAAGAATGGATCTGAGAAATCAGTAGAAGTTCTTCAGTAGGTAGAAGCTAGATCTAATAGAATCCTTCCATTTGCAAAACTGAGTTCTATTTATAAAAGGTTTATATTTGCAAACAGTACTTTGATTCTATGGAAAAGGATGACAATTTTCATCCATTTCCTTCCTATCCTTTAAAATGTATTATATCACTTTCCATAATCTTTCAGAGAGTTCTTCAAACTTTAGAGCAGATTTTGGGATGGATGTAAGAAACTGAAAAAGGAAAGTGGAAGGAACAGATATCACCCTTTATTTTTAAGGTTTGAAGCATTTTATTTTTTGAATAGAACTCTGTTTAGAATATTTAAGTCCAACCCACTGAGATGAAAGCATCAGATTGTCAATAAGTTGGGGACCAGTAGTAAAAGAGATTGAAAATGTTGGCATTTGTCCATATTTTCTTATCCTGATCTCTAGTCAAACCAACAGCTCATGAAGGGAGTGGCTGAATAGAGGATTCTGACTGGCCAATATTAGACAGCACTATCCCAGCTGTCTAAACATCAGGATCTGACCCCACAGCTCAATTAATTTAGGAAATCTCTATTGAATCTTTATTAGAGGCATGAGTAAAATGGGAAAGGAACCTGAATAATTTTCACCTACACTTAGTCCTGTTTGTTTTTGTTTTCCTCTCCTGAACCAATTGTCATTTATGGATCTAGTGCCTTTGAAAAATCACAGGGCTGAATGTTCATTATAAGCAACTACTGCTTAATTCAGAAGATATTTTCTTCAAAAATGGGGTGTATTATACACATACAAGTGGCTGAGAAATACACTGAACTCTATGTGTGCAATCTGTTAAATTCAGAATTGATCAACATCCAGCTAAATCTGTGCCCCTTTTTAATATTCCTTTGCTGTCTTTTCACATTATCCCACATGGATCACTTACCTCCTACCCATCCAGCTACAAAATCATCCAACTGAAGGCTGCCCATATTACTACGTTTTAAGCAGTCCCGTTCAGTTTTAGTCTTGGGTGATGCAGTTCACATTCATCTCCTCCAGCACCAGGCAAGCAACAGAAGAGAATCTCAGTATGCCTCTTTCAAATCTGTTTTTTTATCCTCATCCCACAGAGTCCTATTATGACTGCAGAGCAGTGGTTTCTTTGGCAACTTTCAACAGCCTCAGAACTCAAACAACTCGATTCCACTCTCTGTCTCTCTTCCCCGCAAAAGTGCCTTCAAAGCACAAAGTGACCTCATACTCCCAGAGCTTAAAGGGACAGTACAATAAGAACCACAGGTTCCAGAAGTCATTCTAGTATGTGACTAATTAAAGGCAAATAGCTAATCTATGGTCAACATAGAAAATCATGAACTTCTATGTCTCTTTATTTGCACATTTGGTCTGAAGCCAAAAAAGAAAATCGTATACATGGAAACTAAGGTGATCAGAGTGAAAGCATCCAAGTGACCACAATATTTCTGAAGAAAGGTGATGAAAATCTGTTATAACCTCAAAGCTTTAGGACATTCCTCCCTAGGATGAACTTACAGTGGGTGAAATAGAACTGTGTTCATCTAGTGATGGAACAGCATCTGCTATTGGAAAGGAGTGCCCCTGCACCCCCTTAAACCATTCTGTTGAACTGGGGATCCTTTAAATCAGACTTTGAGAATCACCAGGAAGCTGCAAGGGTAGGAGGAAAAAGGTGAAAAGAAGGTTACTTGTGTAATGGTAGATGTAGCCTAAACATTGACAAAAAGTGACATTTTAATAGCATTTTCATGGGAATTGAAGAAAAAAAGCTATATCAAAACAAGTTGAGTTAAATAATAATGGATTCGTTTGTTTTCTTAGCTTTCCATGGTTTTCTCAGGAGTTTTCTCTAATACCAAAGTTCAAAAGTAGCAAGAATCTTTCTATCCTGCTTCTGGAAAGTCCAACTTTCACTTCCATAGACTGTCACAGGGAAAATGATGCCTGTGTAATTCTGATCTTTGTAGGTATAGGCACATTCTGCATATACCTTTTCCTAGACTGAACCAAGTGCTTGTCTGTGGCATATTTCTTGACTGTTAGTTCCTTTACTGTTGATAGTTGATAATAAAAGGCAGAAGATATCCACCACTTCAGTATCTTCATTGTCAAGAGTTATATCTAGATTGCCATTACATATGACATACTTCATTATAATAATTAGGGACTGAACTCTCTACTTTGTTCTACCTTTCCCCCACAAACCTGATTCCCTGAGACAAGGGGTTAGGCATTATTTTCCTGCCCTTTGTGTGAATCCATAAACTTAGCTTACAGTTCACCTCTAGAAAAAGAAGTCCTAGTTTGTAATGATGACAGATTAAAGGTGATAAGCCAATATTTTGAATTTCACTTTAAACCACACACTGTGAATCCTCTCTAAACATTGAGGTGAATCACAAATTAAACATTTTAAAAAGGAAAAGTGTTATCACACTGCCATCTGCTGTCAGCAATATCCATTTATCTTAAGTTTACCCATCCCTTTTCTTGATAAACAAGTGAACAGTTGAGAACAGGAACATGTGAAAGAGAATCTGTGCTTAGATCTTAGGAATGTAAAGAAACAATACTTAAATGCAAGCCTGGAGAATCAAATCTTCCAACTGCTATTAATCAGGGCAAAAGGCACAGACAGGGAGAGTTAAACCCTCTCAATCAATGCTGCTATTCTGGTATTTCTCATACTTGCCATAACATGTTTATTTTTTCCTTAAAAGTTCCAATTCCAATAAACAGTTTAATTGGGATAAATATGTAACACCTTTTGTCCCAAGGAGCTACATTTTCTAAGATGACATGAGATTCACAGTAGGGTTATCCTATCTGGGATGCAAAAATCTAGGCAGCTCCTAAATGGAAGCAAAGAGATAGAGAAAATTCTAACTCTTTGCTGCTATCTAGTGATAATCTTGATTTTTGCAGCCCTAGTAGTGGATAGTTTTAGCACACAGGAATAATGCAAGAATTAATTACTGCAAAATATTTCCATCCCAATGTAATATCAGGAACAAAATAATATGGTGCTCCTAAAAAGCCAGGATTCTTTAGGCAAGATGTCCTGCCTGCATTCTTCATATCTCTGGCATCACCCTTATTGGAGGTCCAAATCCAGTGGCACCGACTCCTCAGTACCTTAAGACCTACTGACCACAGGGGACAGTAGGATGCAGAAAGGAAGTTAAGGATTTTCTGTGACCCCTCTTTGTATAATACTCTGCCTATTCTCTGCCTAAGAGATTGCTAATTTAAGACCACTTCCTTCTGTCATTTTTCCCAGGTCCATGTCCACAGAGCAGATGCGCTAGGTCTCTTCGTAGGACGTAGCTAACAAGGTGCTAGACTTTGCCTATCCCTATCATCTATCTCCTCTAAGTTATAATAATAAAACCGGCTTCATTATTTCTTGGTTGGGTTAGATGCCTGCTCTCAGAAACGCTCACATATGCAGGGGACACTTCAACCTTCAACAACCCCTTGGCTACCAGCTCATAGGTGTTAAGGCCCCTCGGACACTCTGAGAGAGGGAAGAGGACTTAACTGCTGAAATTCACACAGCTGACAATGGAGAGAAATCTCCCTGTGCCAAGTTGCTATGCAAGAGCTCCAACTGAGATTGCTTGATAGACCTTATTCTACTTCTTTGACCTTCTCAGCCTATGGCAATTGTAGCTTTTCAGTCAGCATGTTATGTTCTTCCAGCCACTATTATCTTATGCTGAGATTATTCTGCCCATGGAAAACTGAAACAATGAAATCTACCTGCTGGTGGTGCTTTGTTACCAAACGTGATCTGTGCTAGTTCCAGTCTAGGAGAGAATGGAGGTGGTGAGGGAAACAACTTGTGTTGCTTGCAAGATGAGATGGAGAGAAATTATGCTCACAGAGCAGAGAATTAGTCATCGGGTTCTCTTTCAATACTGATGTCTATTACTGGCATAACAGAACAATTAAGTGTAATTCAAATGAAAGTGTAATTCAAATGTGATGAATAATTTGAGGAGTTATGGGTATATGGATTTTTTAATGTAAATGTAGAAACTACTCAGTCTGGTTTAGGGATCTGATTTGAAGCTTTAGAAGATGCTTACATAATGTGGGTCAAGTAATCCAGTTTGATGTCACTGGATTCAGGGGGAAAAAAACCCTTCCATTCTTCTATAATCTATCAAATGAAAACTACAAATGGATGATTTCTTTTCAGATTACAGCAAAATGTGCAGCTGGTCAGAGATAACAGAGGGCTGAAATATGACAAATTTCTGTTATGTTTTATAAAAATGAAATTATTTGTTTGTTCTGCCACAATATGGTCTTTTGCTCTAGCCCTGCAACACCAAAGAAGAAAAAGAAAAAAACTGGAACTGGAGTTTCTTTGACAACCAAAATTAGAACACAGTGGTTAAGCCTGTTTGCCATTCCCAAAAGGACCTGATCTTCCTTGGGATCTTGAACCAAGTTAAATCTAATGCACACTGTTAATTTGGTCTATAATCAGTATAAGATTTTTGAATTCTAGCTGCTTTGGAACCTCCATTTTAATAATGCATTTACCTTCATTACTAATACCTTTTGCTATAATGTAGCAGCTTTCCTGGAAGCTCTCAAGTCAGTTGGCAGTTGGGGGTTTTGACAGGAGTGGAGGAAGAAAGCCACCTGGATGTCAACAAGAGCTCCAATTCATTTATCAGAAATATTCACGTTTTGCATGTGACTTAATGCAACAAGATTATTCACATCCAAAGGACATATTCACTAGCTTCATGGCATTTATCAGTTAAAGCACTGAGTTTCTTTTTTGTTTCAAATTTTGGCAGCATTCCTTGTATTTATTCACAAACATAGATAAAATAACCTTTTGTGCCAAGCAGAATTCAGAGTAATCTTTTCTTTCTAAGGAGAAGCACAAAGATTACAAAGAGATAAAGAATGAACCTATTGCTTTAACAGGCAAAGGAATACATCATACTGCAATATGACCAAGCATCAAAATAAAAGATGCTGTCCAAATAGTTGCAAAATTCCATTAATTGTATGCCATCTTAATAGAGCTGCAATACAATAAAGAGTATTTGGTCCACTCCATATAAGGGCCAGCTATGATACTTCTGGTCAAGACACTAGTGTCAGTGTTCATTTCTAACATGTCAAGTCAATTAGCATTTATTAGTTCTGACTGGAACTCATAAATAGTAAATTTTGCCTCCCATAATACTAAAAAAAAAAGTCTACTGCACTAACCTTGATTTCTATAAGTTACAGAAATGACTGGGCTCTTATGAGCCATCCCAGACTTTATCCCCCTTCTAAACAATACTGCCTTTCCATTTACTTTGCTTTTTCTTTTTTCTAAATACAGCTGTGACAGTTGGAGAATTAACCCTTATTTTCTCATATTGCTCTCCTGAGGATAATTGCCCCTCATTATATTTCAAGCAGAGGAAAGTGGAACTATTTACTTGGCTATACAGATGGTTCCAGATCTCAGGGGCATTAATTGTATGCCATCTTAATAGAGCTGGAGGGGTGAGGAAAATAATGGATGACACATATAAAAATGGGTGGGGCTTCAGTCATGC